TCCAAACCAAACCTTCAAAACCCCAACTCCCAAGTCCATGCACAAACGTCAGACCAGCACTGCAAAGGCTTGCTCAGTTCCACTCACAATTGGGCGTGCACCTGGCCCCAGCGGCCCGAGCGCATGAGCAGGTACTGTGCCCACGGCTGCGATTTGATGTCAGCCGTTAGATCGGACTCCTGCGCGCTGTCAGATGCGCGCAGCCCCTCGTGCTTGTCCAGCCAGAGCAGCACCAGGTGGTCGCTGGTGGGGAACTCCGCGTCCGTCGGCACCGCCTCAAAGGCAATCTGCAGCAGAGAGGTGGGTGGGGAGGAGGAAGGAACGGTGGAGCATGAGGAGAACGCACGAGTGGCTGCGTGCATTGTGAATTGCGTGGTTAAGTGGGTGCAGCAGCAGCGCCATGAGATTGTGTGATCCATGCACCCAGAAGCACCCAGCAGCACCCATCACATCCCCCTTTCTATCTCCAGCGCACCTTGTCAGCGGTGAGTCTGAGGCTCTGCAGCGTGGCTTCAGTGAACACACACCCGCCCGCCTCATACAGCACCACCACCAGCCGCGCATTCGGTGCCTGCCGGTTCACTGCCAAGGAGGGAGAGAGGAGGAGTGAGGGAAGATGTGAGAGAGACAGGTTGAAGAAAGGGGCAAGTACGGGGAATCGGGGGTGCGAGGTGATGAGGACGGCAAGGGGGTTTGAGAGGGATGTGTGAGAAGCGGCAGAGGGGATGGTGGATTGGGGACAGGACGGTGAAGCAAGCTGTGCGGCAGGGGAGAGAGAGTGTGTGTGGGGAAAGGAGTGAGTGAGCGAGTGCGTGCTACGAACGCACCTATCTCCTGAGCGCGCTCCACGTGGTGCGTGTAATCCCCGCCCTCGTTGAAGAGTGAGAAGCGGCGCGAGCTGGTGATGTTGATGGGCACCAGCAGGTACACCGTGGGGGGATCGTCTCCTCCTGCACGCGCCGACACGGATAAATGGGATGGGATGAGATGGGATGGGATGGGATGGGATGGGATGGAATTTGATTGGATGGGATGGGAAGGGCAGGGAAAACAACAAGACTCGTCAATGTAATCACTCGATATTTTACCTATGGCTATGACCCATTTTCCTTAGCACAAAGAACCCCCTCCTTTCCCGCCTCCCCACCCGTGCAAAGAAAATGAGAAGCAGCTCACGCTCGCGGCCGAAGTCAACATCAGTGGCGAGAACAATGGCGAGGCGGGACCCCTTGCCCCCCTCGAAGGCGTCTACCAGCAGGTCCTTGGCGCCCTCCGCGTCCACCAGCCTCAGCCGCGCGGGCGCCATCACTGGAATCCACCCGTACCCGCCCTCCACCCCACCCGGCTTCTCTGTGCTCCGGGGATTGCGGATGAGAGGTGAAGGGCGCGGAGGGGGAGAGTGGCGTGAGAAAGGGGAGAGCCTGAGAGGAGGACGCAACTTTCACCATGCACATTCTCTTCCCCAGACAGAGTCTCTTCCCCACAGTCACTCCCCTAGTGCATCCCCTCCGCCCACTGGCAGGGCACTGACCGCGCATGAAGAGCACGGTGATGCCGCCGCCAGTGAGGCCGAGCATGAGGAAGAGCGAGAGCATGACGGTCTGACATCCCATCGACTACCACGAACCTCTTTGATACGCCTCATATGTCAACACACCGCCCCCTCTCCTTCTCCCCTCCACCGCTCCCTCTCCCTCCCTCAAGTCCCTCCCCGCCCTTCTCCAACCCCCCCACTAGCGCACCGCGCATGAAGAGCACGGTGATGCCGCCGCCAGTGAGGCCGAGTACGAGGAAGAGCGAGAGCATGACGGTCTGCAGCAGCGTCACCTTCTTCTCCAGCGACTGCACCTTGCCGTCCGTCAGCACCTCGTTCAACCGCCTCTGCGCCCGCACCTGCGCCGGCCTGGCGGTGGGGAAGGGGAGGGGACGGAAGACGCGGGCGGGAGAGGGGGTTTGCAGAGAGGGTATGGGGTGACCGGGCAAGAGGGTGAGACAGAGGGTGAGAGAGAAGCTGAAGGTGTGAGAGAGGAAATGGGAGTGGCGAGGGGCGAGGATGTGAGGGCAGATGTAAAGCTTGAAGAACAGTTGAGAGGCATGGGAGGGGTCTGAAAAGGGGTCGATTGAGTGTGCGAGCATCAAAACCAGCAGCAATCTCCCTCAGTCCCAATGGCACCGAGTGACCCCCCCCCCCCCCCCCCCCCCCCCCAGTGCCTTGCCAGTGCCCCCCTGTATCCCCACCAACCCCAGCCGTCCCTGCGCCCCCACGCTCCCCGCAACCCCATTGCCACCCAGCACCCCCAATAGCCCCAATCGCCCCCCGCGCTCCCCCAACCTCCCCAAACCCCCCTCCTTGTTAACCCCCAGCAACACACCTGCACTCGTGCACCTCGGCAACGAGGGTCTTCTTCTCAGCAGCCCACGCGACGCGCTCCTCCCCGGCGTGCACGGCGGCCTGCTCCAGCGCCACCACGCGGCTCACGTTCGCCACGCGCCCCGTCGCCTCGCACGCCTCCAGCTCCTCCTGCAGGCCCCGCTTCGCCTGCTCGCACGCTGATCGCTCCGCCGCCACGTCCTTCTGACAGCTGCCCGCTCCCTTCTTCTTCAGCTGTGGAGGGGGTAAGGGGAGGGGAAAGGGGACGGGTGGGCGGGGCGGGACGGGAGGAGGAAGGAAGGAGAGGATTGGGGAATTAGCAGGGGGGAAGGAATCGGGCAGCCGAGCTGAGCCGACCGCTCTGCTGCCACGTCCTTCTGACAGCTGCCCGCTCCCTTCTTCTTCAGCTGCGCGGGGAAAGAAGGGGAAGGGGAAACGAGGGGGAGGGGAGGAGGGGCCGGAGGATGTCGCAAGGATGAAAAATACGGTTTTCGTAAAAAACGGTCCGTTTTTACGGTAATTTCCAAAAAAACGGCGTTTTTTTGTTAGAAAACTGTCGTCACCAAGAAAAAAAGGGAAAAACAAGGTCAAATACATTTTCAATCATGCCCACAAGCGCACTCATGCAAGGAGGTGTTTGTCCTCTTCATGCTGGTGATTTTCGCCATCAATTTTGTCCCATAAATGGCTGATTTTTTCTTCAAACGAAACCACCTTCTGGAACCGTTTTTTACCGTTTTTTACGGCCGTTTTTTACGGTAAATTTTCAAAAAAACGGCGTTTTTTTTAACCTTGGGATGTCGGAAATTAGATTAGCAGAAGGAAAAGAATTGAATATCCCCCATCAAGCGCCACTTCCCAAAGGCACAAGCTATCTCTCACCGTAATCACCTCTAACTCCTACCCATTCCCCTCATATCGGCCCCCCTTTTTTCCCTCCTCCCCTCCGCTCCAGCTCCCGCCCCTGTTCCCCTCTCACGCACCCGGATCTCGCAGTGCTCCAGCTCGGCGCGGATGGCGTTGGCGTCCGTGTCGCACTCCGCGCGGATGCCCACGCGCTCGCGGTCGAACGCGCTCGCCACCACCTGCCGCTCGCGCTCACACTCCATCTCCAGCTCCTGGGGGCGCGGGGAGGGGCGGAGGGGCGGAAGGGCGAAGCGGGGGAAGGGGGTAAACAGGCGTCTTAAACGACTCTAAGGAATTGTGTAAGGACAGCGCACGGAGGAGGACGAGCGGGAAAATGGAGGGGAGGGGAAGGGGGGCGTGGATGTGCGGGACGGGAGGGTGGGAGTCGAATGGAAGCGAAGCGAGGACATGGCCCGCCCTTTCCGCGCCCCTTCCGCGCCCCTTCCGCGCACTCACTCGCTCGCGGATGCTGCGCTCCTGGTTGCAGCGCAGCCACTCGGCGTAGCGCTGGTCGCGCTCGCTGCGCAGGCGGTCGAACTGCCCCGCGCGCGTCGACGCGTCCTTCACCGCGTCCACGTACGTCTCCCCGCACCAGCTGCGCGCGCGCGGAGGGGGAAGGGGGGTCGCGGGGGAAAAGGGGGGAGGGGAGAGGAGAGAGGAGAGGGGAAGGACCAGTGGGGACTGACGGAACTGAGGAATGTTGTGGTGGCAGGGACATGAGAACGGAAATGGCGCCGGGGCGGTGGCAATGGCGTGCCATGAGACACCAGAAACGCGGACGAACGAAACGCTCGCACTTTCCGTCCTTCCTTTCTTCCTTCCGCTGTTTCTTCCGTCCTCTCCTCCCGTTTCCTCTCGTTCCCTCCCCACATCCCTCCGCCCCTTCGCCCCCGTCCCCGCGCGGGGCGGCGGCCCGGCGGGGCGGCGCGCGCACCTGGAGAGGATGGAGTGGATGAGGTTCTCCGCGTTGGGGTCGTTCGCCGTGGGCCACACCCACCGCGCCGCATCTGCGCACACACCGCGCCACGCGCACGGGAGTGGGAGCGAGCATGGACGCGGGAAGGGAAGACGAGAGGCACAAAGGTATTAAGAGCCAGGACAGGAATCACAGCGATCAATCAGCAATCAATTAAGGTTACTGCGATCGCTGCTGTAGCGACCTCTTGTACACTAGCAGGAGGTGTGGGCGTGCGGGCCGGCGGGCCGGTGGGTGTGTGGTTGGGTGGGTGGGTTCTTTTGTGAGAGTTAAAGAAAAAAGAATCGCTCGTGGGGTAACGGCGCGCGGAGCAGCTGACCTAGGGAGTACGAGCCCTCCGGCGCGGTCGACGTCTCGTTGAACGACGGTGCGAAACTCGTGCTCGCCGCCGTGCCGCTGCTCCCGCTGCTGCCCGTCCCGCTGGTCCCGCTGCTGCTGCTGTCACCGCCGCTTGTTGTGCTCGCTGCAGGGCCCGAATCGGTTGCTGCATCAGCGGCAGGTGCGGCGGCAGCTGCGGCGTCAGGTGCGGCGGCGGCATCAGCAGGCGCGGCGGCGGTACTTTCCGCCATGGCCGGCCATGACTCGACAGCCGCAGCGATAATGACGGCAATTGAGACGACTAGTAACGCGCGGCGTACTGACGCCGCCATTTAAGGCGCGGCGCAGCGCGGCGCAATGCGGTGCCTGCCTTTACTAACGAGGTGCAGATGCTACAGCGGCGAACGCGCTCGGCGGGTTCCGCCAAGGATGATGCGAATGACGCAACGAGATTGGCGCGGAGGTGTCGCTAGGGTTCTCAGAAGCTCGCGTTAAATGGTTCTAGTAATAGTGAAAATAAAAAAGAAAGAAGGTGCCTTTTTTATCCTAATGCAAGACTCTTCCTGATCAACGAATCGTGAGAAAAACGGGGTAGCTGTTGCAGCTTTTTAGACGGAACGAGTGCTGACGCCGATGCGCGAAGCGCATGAGCGAGAGGGGAGAATGAGGAGACAAGACCACGCCTAGGTGACAACCCTAAAAGCTGATGCAATAGAGCAGTTTGGATAGAAGGGGCTGCAGGAGGGAGTTCCAGCAGGTGCTGCTGGTAGTGGTTTGCGTGGTGGTTGGGTGGAAAGTGCCAGGCATCCACGAGTTTTCGCGATTTCAAGTGTCGCAACAGGCGATTCGTAAGCGGGCAGTTCTGCTCGTTCTCGAATGTTACCCGCGCATCTCGTGTAACTTGGTTGCTGTGATCTGTCTACACCCAAGCAAACACGTAAAACTTCTCAAGGCCACTGTCGTAACAAAAGAGCGGGGTTGAACCAAGAAGCACCTAGCAGCTCCTCTCCCTCTAGCGCCGCAGACTCGCCCCCTCGCTGTCTCATTATCTCGCTGCCTCACTGCCTAGCCGATGTGCCCGGAGAGGCTATTCGACCTCGCCATAACAATATCGGCACGTCTCTCCTGCGTTTCTTCCTGCTTTCAGCTCGATCGTTTTCAATCAAACAATGGGCTGCTTAGTATCCCGCGATGGGTTCTAGTAATAGAACGATAGATCTCTGGCATCGAAGCACGTGCGATCCATGCGACAGAACCCTTCTGTAGGCCCATCGTAAGCGATCGTCGCACTGCGATAAGGTGGACAGCGTCGTCGCGTCGAGACGTCGCGGCGGTCGCCGGCGTGCAGTGCGACGGAGTGTGGCGCTGCGCGGTGCCGGCCATGGATGTGGTGTTCTTCGACTCCTTCCACCACCGGCCGTCGCCCGACAACGTGGACGAGGTGGGCTCGGCGCGCTTCACGCCGCAGCATAAGCTTTAGCGATGGGACGGGTGCCGAGTTCTGAAACGAGCAGTTTCATCGATTAGCGTTTCAGCCAGTTTCAGGCAGCGATTAGCGGCGACCACGCAGAGACGGCTAGCCGGTTACGGAAGAGCCAGTCGGTATTGCTGATGCTGGTTCATGTTTCTGCAGCACAGCTTCCTGGTGGCAATTACGCTGTATCCCCGTCGTTAGGTCGCGCGTTATACAGCCACCGTTCTCCTCAACGCATGAATCACCATTCCCAGCGATCCGCTTGAGTTTTCCGTATCCTTCGCTTTCCGTGCCGTGCTCTTCGCATTGCTCCCTCTCTTCCCTCTCTCATCCTCCTTTCCTCTCACCCCCCTACCGCAACCGAGGCCACCCTCCACATCTCCCCCCTCCCCCCACCCCTCCCCCTCGTTTCTTGCGCTTCCCCTCGGTACGCAGGTGCGGTTCCGCGCGCCGCTGCTGCTTAAGGCCTTCCACCTGCCCGCGCCTGATGCTCCCGCGCCCACCCCGCTGCTCCGCCGCTTCAGAGGGTATGGCGCGCTCCTAGTGCAAAGTGTGTGACTGCACATGGCTGTGTGGCGTTCTGTGTCGCTGTATCGTCTCATCACTCTCTCATCACCCTCTCATCACCCATCTCTTTCCTTGCCCATTCCATGGCCCCTTCACGTTATAAAATTATTCTCTTTTGTCCCTCCTCTTCCCCTCTCTTCTTCCTCCCCTCAACTCCTCCCCCCTCTTCTCCTATCCCCTCTCAGAGTGACCCAATCAGAGCCCTTCAATCTCGCCATCTACGCGCACATTCTCCCCTCCGCACCTGCCGCCGCACCACATGCTGCCGAAGCACCGCCCTCTGCTGGTGCTCACACCAATGCCTCACCAGCCCCACTGGCAGCACCGGCACCACCAGCAGCAGCACCACCAGCACCAGCAGCAGCAGCGGCAAGGGGTGCAGATGGGAGGAGAGTGGGGGCTGGGACGCTGGAAGACGATGGCACGGGTGGTGTGGGAATGTGTGGGCCCAGTGCGGGGGGCGAGTTCAGGCTGATATACCACACACAGGGGTCCACGGAGAATCTCACCACGGCCATCAAACACATCCAGGCAAGCACATTCCTGCACACCTGTGCCTTCTCCAAGGTTTCCTGTCCATTTCGCCTCTTCCTCCTCTCCTCTCTCTCCCTTCACCCCCCAACCCCCATTTCCCGCTCTCCTCTCCTCATCCCTTCGTCTATTCGTTTCTTCTGCTTCGTCTTGCTTGGCACTTTCCACACGCCTTACTTACTCCCGCTCCCCTCCCCCAGTTTCCCCCTGCACCTGCTCCCCATCCTCTGCTCCGTCGCTATGCTTTCCCACCCCTCCCCCCCGGCCCCCCTGCTTCCCCTCTTCTCACTTCACTCGTTTCTAACCTCCGCTCTCTGCACTTCCCCCCACACCCATGCCTCCGTACCTCCCAATGTTTGTCCCTCGTGCGCCCCACAGCCGCTACTAACAGACCACATAGTGCTGCGGGGCTCCTACTGCTCGCTCTCCCTCGTCCTCTTCGGCACCCCCTTCTCCCCGCCCTCGCGCTCCCTGCCGCCCCGTGCCTTGCGCTCATCACACGGGAAGCAGGCGGGGGAATCGGGCCAGGGGGGCCGAGGCTCGGCACGTGGTAGAGTGGCGGGCGCGGAGAGGGGAGAAGGGGGAGGGGCGGAAGTGGTGGGTGGGGGAGCGGGAGACGGGGGCTGGGATGATGCTATGGTGGTAGATGCCGTGCATCCCAGTGGAGCAGAGGTTCTGAGAAAGAGGAAGCGGGGGCGGGAGAGGCGCGAGGGGGGCCGGGCAGGGGACGAGGAGCATGGTGAGACAGACGGGGAAGGCGGGGAAGAGGCAACAGGAGGGGAAGAGGGAAGGGGAGGAGGGGAGAAGGCACGGGTGGAAGGCAAACGGGGGAAAGGGAGGGGGAGGCGCAAGGCGAGAGGTCACCGGCAGGAGAGTGACAGGGACGGGGACGAGGAGGAAGAGGAGGGAGAGGGGGGAGAGGAAGAGGAGGAGGATGCGCTAGTGGTGGTGGGGAGGCGGGCGGCAGCAGTGGAGGAGGCAGTGGAGGGCAGGAAGCGAGCAGTGGCAGTGCTACGAGCATCAGTGCGGCTCTGGCACGGACTATCCTCCGCTATCAGCCATGCTGCTGCTGATGCCCTGCTCCCCCTGCTCTCCTCCGCGGCTGCTCATCTCGCAGGGCTTAGCCTCTTGCCGGTGGATCTAGGGGAGAGTGAAACGGGGTGGGGAACGGTTGGGGGACGCAGGAGACGTGAGGGGAGGGTGGGGAAGGAGGGTGGGGGAGGGGGGGTGCGGAAGGGAGGGTATGGGGACGGGGAGGAGGGGGCCGGCGGGGCGGAGGAGGAGAGGGAGGAGTGGGCGTTGGTGGTGCAGGAGGTTGACATGGCCCTTGCATGGCTGCACCATGTTGTCTGCGCCTCCACCGTTCTCCCATCCGTACGCTGTTCACCCCTACCCCTTCCCTGCTCCATGCTTACCGCTTCCCGGTCTCATCCATATCTTCCCTCAGTCTGTGACCACACTCATTCCATACCTCCTGTCCTCACCTTCTGCTTACCCCTCCCTTCCTCCTTGTGCTTCCCTCCCGTCATTTCCGTTTGTGGGTGCTGGTTCCCACATCATGAGGGCAGGTGGAGGAGACACAGGCAGCGTTCACGCTCGTGCATCTCGTAGCCTTCTCCCCCCGCCACTGCCTGCTTTTCTGCCGTCGCAACGGCTTGCACGGGCTGCTCTCAGCCCTCCAACAACAACCACGCTCACCTGCACCTTCCTCCTCACGACCTCCCCACTCCGCCGCCCCTGCATCTTCCTCCTTCCTGTCCTCCTCAGCAGCGTCGTCCCTCCCCTGCCTTGCTCTCTCCGCGCTGCTCTGCTGCTGCCGCCACCCGTTTGCATGCGCGCTGCTGCTTCAGCCAGACCCGAGGGTTCCGGGGAAGGGCACGGCAGTGAAAGGCAGCAGTGCAGGGCGGAAAGGGAAAGGTGTGACTGGGCCAAACAAGGAGGGTAAGGAAGAAGGGAACAACGGGGGTGGAGGAGCAGAGAAGAAGGGGGAGGGTGCGATGGAGGTGGAGGGAGAGGGTTTGGAGGAGGAGGAGGAGGCAGTCGAGGAGGAGCAAGTGAGCACAGGGAAGGAAGGCAAGCAGGGAGGGGAGATGAAAGCAGAAGCAGGGAAGAGTGCCTGGGGCGAGGAGAAGGGTGCAGGGAGCAGTGGGTACGAGCAGGTGTTGGCGTTTGTGGTGCAGTCCAGTCGGTGCCGCACACCACTGCAAGTGGGAGTGCTCGCCACGCAGCTGCTGCTCGTGCTGCACCGCCATCACCTCTGCCTGCGCCTACAGGTGATTCTCCTCACTGCTGCTCCAGCTCTTGCTCCTGTTGCTAATCTCGCCTCTGCTCTTGCTGCCTTCTCCTCTCCAGTCCCTGCTGTCGCCTCTTTACCACCCTCTCCGCCCCACCTTACCTCACCTTTTTCTAATCCCTCCTGTCTCTCTATCCACCTTTTCCCCCAGCTCTCGCTCTCTTCCTCACTATCCATCCTGTGGTGTCTTGCAATACCCTTCTCATTGTCACGATCATCAGCACGGCAATCTGCTCATTTCCTCCCTCCCTCCTCTCCCTCTTCATCCACACCACAGCGTTCGGTCACCCAGCTGCTTCACCCGCACTTCTCTTCCGCAACCCGTGTACCCTCCTCCACAACCCCCCAACTCCTACTGAAGAGCGCTGCCGTGGGGGCAGGGGAAGGAAAAGGGGTGGAGGGGGAGCGAGGAGCGGGGGAAGGCGGGGAAGGAGTGGTGGAACAGGTAGAAGGCGCCAAGGGGGAGGAGAGGGGGAGTGCAGATGCTGGGCTGGCGACTGTGATTCAGCTGCTGCAGGAGACTCAGGTGGGTGGGGAGTGGAATAAGTGTGAGTGTGGGCGCTCATTCTACTCTCTCTTCGGTCATTCAATTTCTCCTTCTCTTGTCAGCCTCCTGCCCCTTTTTTGGTCTAACTCCCCAATAACCCTCCCTTTCTCCCCCTCCCCCTCTCCTCCACCACCTCCCCACCGCTCCCTCCCCTTCTCACCGTTTTCCCCGTGCTCCCCCGCAGTCGCTTCTTATTCGACCGCCAGCAGCAGTGGCAACAGCAACATCTGGGGCGGGCAGCACGAGCAGCACCAACCTGCTCATCGCCTCCTCCCTCGCACGCCTCGCATCCTCCTCCCCCTCCTCCGCGCTCGCCACAGCACACCGAGCCATCAAGCCCACGACTCTCCTGCCGCTGCTGCTCTCCCGCCCCACCACCCTCTCCTGCCCGCTCGCGTCCCCCCTCTGCCCGCCTCTTCCCCCCGCGAACGCGCCGCCGCTGTTTGTGTCGCCGCTGCTGGCGCAGCTGCTGGGAGGGCTGGACGCAGATGCCTTGGCCGTGCTCAAGGTGAGCCTCGCTGTGTGTGGCAGCGTGCGGGGTGCAGGTAGTATAGAAAAGAGTCCACATTGCGCAGCTTCCACATTCCAAATTACATGTGTACACCAGAGCGTCTGCATCATCGGTTTTCACATGCACCATCGGATGCACATCCCTACCACTTGCATGTGACTCGCACCTTTCCCTTGCCCGCAGCACTACCCTCCGCGTTATCTGCCCGTCTCACGCCCTGCTACCCTCCATGCCTCTCTCCCTCTTCCCACCCCTCCACCCTTCCATCCCCTGCTACCCTTCTCCCGTGCGCACATCAGGGCTATCACCTCTTGGACCTTCTCGCAGGAGCCGTCACCGCTGCATCCACCTCGCCCTCCTCCTCCTCCCCACCCCAACTGGCCCGTCCCCCGCTGCTGCTCTCCGTGCACGTGCCTCCATGGCCCGCCCCTGCGCTGCTTGCGCCACTGCACGCTATACTGTTGCCGCTGCTGCACTGCCGGGAAGGTCTGTCCGCCCGTCAGTCTTCCCATCCCATCCCATGTTTAACCTCTTTGCATGGCGGGGTGTGTGTGTGTGTTTTATCCCATGCCCATGTGTCGATCTTTTTTCTGTGCGTGCTGCTCTTTTTGTACCTGTGCCGTGCAGTCATCTTGTATGAGTGTCGTTCTGTCCCATGTCATCCTCATGCTCACAACACCCTGATCTCGCCCCATCACGTCACAATCCTGGTGCCTTCTCTCTCTCAACTCAAAAACCACCGCATCACCGCATCACTGCATCACTGCATCTTTATCCCGTGCAGGCCTACTCTTTCTCGCCTCGCAGCCACACGCCACTGCTCGCCTCGCCTCCGCTCTCCAGCACGCTCCCACCGCCGCGCACTCACCTGTCCCGACCCGCCACATACGCCGACGCTGGCAGGAGAAGGGAATGCAGGCAGGGAAGGGTCAAGGAGTCTGGCGCCTGGCAGGAGGCCGACTGCTGCCGTGCCGTCACTTGCTCGCTCTGGATTCGCTCGGCATAGCCACGTCACCATCTGACGTGGCAGCTGCGATGACGGAAGTCTTGAAAGCGGTGAGTGGGCAGGTGGCGAGGCAGTGTTGGTGGGAGGCTGGGAGCAAACGAGCGGGGTCACTACTGCGGCACAGCCTGGTATCATGTGGTAGACAGTTCCAGTAAAAAGGGAGAGCTTGGGAGCAGCTGTTCATCAATAGTGGGGTTTCATGTGATTGTTCAGAGATAGCTCCATACATAAGCTCTATTTTCCTCATTTGACCACCACTTTGCCTTCGCCCCAGGGCCCCCTTCTTGGCTTGGCTTGGCACCAGCCTCGAAACGCCTCTCCTTCCTCTCATCTGCTTCTTCCCTCCTCATTCCACTTCTCTTTGTCTTTTTTTTCTCATGACCTTGCCCCCCTCTCGTCATCACCCTCCCCTCTACGACTCCTCATCCTCCGCCCTTCATCTCCGCCCCCCACCACGTGCATGGCATGGCGCCGTGCCACAGGCAACCCTAGTGGAGCAAGCAGCAGCAGCAGCGGTGGCAGCAGGGGCAGCAGTGGGGGTGGCATCAACAGCATCGGCTCTCTCCCTGGGCGTGTTTGGCCCGGCCACACGTGTGCCTCTTCGCTCAGCAGCGCAGGTGCAGGCACTGCTGGCACCACTGCTCTCCCTGGCCACCATGCACAGGCATGAGGCGTCACGGCAGGCACTGGCTGCTGTTGCTACACTGCCCGAGGTGCGTCGGTGTTCATGTTGACATTCGCAAACATGCAGGTGCAGCACAGGTGCAGGCGCTGCTGGCGCCGCTGCTCTCCCTCGCCACCATGCACAGGCATGAGGCATCACGGCAGGCACTGGCTGCTGTTGCTACACTGCCCGAGGTGCGTTGGTTGGTGCTCACGTTGACTGACATTTGCCTACCTCGCTCCCTCCTGTGCGTGTGTGCAAACGGGCCGGAAACCCTCTGCCAGAAGCATCCCTCTGTCACTCTCTCCCAAGTGCGAATCCCCCGCTTCCTGCCTTTTCCAGTCTTCTTCGTACCACTCCACCAGCGCTTCCACAAACTCCACCTCCACCTCCTATCTTCCTAACCAATTCCCTCTTCTCTCTATTCGCAGTCTCCCTCCCCCATTCTCTCATCCACTCACTTTTGTATGCCCTGCTTCGACCCACTCCCCCCATCCCTCTCCCCCCTTTTCGCTCTCCCGCATCCTCTTTCCCCATCTCTCCCCCCCCTCCCCCCATCGTGCACGGCACCTGGCATCAGCTACTGCAAGTGCTACACCTGGCCATATTTGCCATAGAGCATCCACTGCAGTCACGAGGCCTGCCCTCTGCCACCGCCCCTGCCGTGCCCTTCAAAGGTCAGCCACGTCACCCCAAGCTGTATTCAAGGCATGACCACACCACCCCCCGCATGCACGCACTCACCTTCCGCTTGATTCATGTAGAACGCGCTGTTTCACAAGCTCCCCTCCTCTCTCGTGTTTGCTCCATTTGCTACGTGAGCTTCCTATTAGCGCCTGTTGAGGCGCCTCAGAAAATCTCCCCCGTATATTCCTTCCGCACCGCTCCACACTTCCCTCACCCGTCCTCCGCTCCTCCTACATCCTCTCCATGCCACGCACACTGCAGCATTTGAGCCGTCTCTCGCAGTCCTGTCCAGCCGAGCGTGCCACGTGCTGCTTGTGCTGCTGCGCGACTCCTCCCTCTCCACATGGCAAGCCGTGGCCCACGGGGGGGCAGCCTTACACGCAGCAGCAACAGCAGCCTCCATGCGCCTGCGTGCCGCTGACCTCGTGCTGGGGTTTGAAGAGGCAAGGGACTGGCTGGAAGGGTGCGCTGTGTTTGGCATGAAGGGCCTGCCGGGGTTGATGGCTCTGGCTGGTGAGCTGGCAGAGGGAGATGCTGCTGCTGCTGTCAGCACCATTGCCGCTGCTGTTGCTGCTGCTGGGGATAACGGTGGTGGTGCGCGAGGAGGAGGGGGGAGAGGGGGGTCTGGAGGGGGAGCAGGAGGAGGGGGAGGGGAGGGGGGTGCAGAAGGAGGAGGGGGTGGAGGGGGAGGGGAGGAGGAGGAGAAGGGGAGGGAGGGAATGGCGTCGAGTACGCTGCTGCCTCCGTTGGTGCAGCTGACAGGGGCTGTGCGGCTGCTGGCGCTGCTGTCTCGACACACGGTAGGGAGCGAACATAGAGACACACAGTAGGGTGTACAGTGCTTTCTCACAGACACTAATCTGGCGTACTTTGTAGCATGGTGCAGGGGCAAAGGGTTGGGACATCCCGGGTCTTGTTTAACCTAGTTTCTCATCACTCGAGTTTCTCTGACTGATCACAGTTATGTGCCCCGTGCTTTCCGGCGAACCACTCGCATGTGTTAATCTCATTCCATTCTATCACGCCTTGTCCATGTATCTATGTGCGTGCATGTGTTCGCGCATGGTGGAATGCAATGCGCGGGGGCATGGCATGGCATGGGGGCATGGCATGGCATGGGGCATGGGGTGGAGCAGGACATGGCAGTGGACATGTTCAACGAGGGGGTCGTCCACCTGCTGCTCTCCCTCCTCTCCCTCGCCAACTCCGCCTTCTCCATCCCCGGTCAGTGCCCTTCTTTTTGTGCAATATCCATGCGTCTAACGCTCCATCACACCCTATTTTCTATCCACTCATTCAGGGCCACGTTCGTGCACCATCAGTGCTCTGCTCTCTGTCCTCTCTTGCACTGCCCATGCCTCTCATTCTCCATCTCACACACCGCACATACTCCTTCCATCCGGATATCAATCCACGCACTTATATCCCGTTCACACCATACCCGCTGCCTGCACTACCGCGTTTCTAGATGTCATCATCCGCGTTATTCCTTCCTCTGTCGCTTCTCTCATCCTTGTACTCTCCACCTGTTCCCCTCCCCCCCCCCCCCCGTGTCCCCCTCTCATGCCAACCGTCCGTAAACAGCGCCGCAGCAGGCAGCAGCAGCGGGGGCATCAGCACAGGGAGCATGGTCGCGTGCGCCAGGGCTGCACATGGATCTGCTGCAAGTGCACGCGCAGACACGCCGCCTGCTGCTGCCCGCTCTGCTGCTCCTGCGCACCATTCTGGCCCGCCTGCAGGTGTGTGCTTGTGGGTGTGCTGCAACTGCATGCGCACGTCCGTGTGCGTGTGCTTGTGCATCGTATGGGGTTTGAGAGTGCACCTTTCGTATGCTCGCTGGGTCGCTCTATAACTGCATCCCCCCCATTCTTCTGCCCCACCCCTCAGCCCTGCTCCTCTTTCCCGTCCCTCTGTCCCACCTCTCTCCCTATGCGTGCAGGCAACAGTGAGTGAGTTCCGCAGCACCAAGCTGCTGCACGCTCTGCTCGACCTCTACCTGCTGCTCAGGTGCTTCCCCCTCCCCCCTCCTGATACGACACATAGAAGCTGGTTGATGGTATCGAGGCCACAGTTTCGGGTTTAGAGTCAGGGTTCTGGAGTGTCACAATGCAGTCCTATCGAGGGAGTTTTGTGTGGGTACCTCTTAGCATGCATCTTTAACCTCTCAGGCATTTATGGGACACCCTATCTGCGGCTCACCTGTTTCCCTATCACTCCGCCCGCCATGCCTCTCCTCCCCTGCGCCCCCTCATCCCCTTTCCCGCTGCCACAGCACTCGACCGGCATTCCACATGGCCATCACCGATTGGTCCTGCCAGTCAGAGGCAATAGAGCTGCAGGCGATACGACAGGCGCTCACGTCCTGCCTTGCCTTCTGGCTGGCCTCCCAGTGGCGCCCTGCTCTCCTCCCGCTGCTCTTCTCCCGCTCCCTCCACTCCCTCCGCACCCCCTCTCCCTCCGCCGCCTCCTCTGCCGCTCCTGCTAGCGCTGGCCCTGCTGTTTCAGCAGCTGCTGCCACTCCAGCTGCTGCTGGCGCTGTTGTGGGAGCAGGTGCAGCTGCCACTCCAGGTGCAGGGGTGCTGGGAGGAGCAACAGCAACAGCAGCAGCAGCAGCAGCAGGCACAGGGGTTGCAGGGGAGGGCAGGCAGCAGTATGCAGCGGTGGGGCCTGTGTCTCCCCTTGAGCCTGCTCGCCTCCCTGGCCTTCTCTCCCTCCTGGTATGCCCCCTGCCGCTGTTGTTGCTGTGCCTCCTTCACATGTTCCTCCTGCTGCCTCCAAACACAATACTGATTCCTCCTATCTCCTCCCATCCCATCACCCTCCCCACACAGGCCGATCTCCTCCAGCAACCCCCACCCTTCCTACTCTCGCGTCAGCCCCCCTCTCCCTCCCCCTCCACCCCACCACCCACCACCACTCCCGCCACCTCCCCTCTGCCCTCCACTCCCTCCGCTCCCTCCACTCCCTCCCTCCCCACCCTCCACTCCTCCCCATCCCCAGCCCCCTCCTCCTCCCTCCCCTCATGGACCTCCCAAGCGGTGAGGGGGTGGGCGCAGAAGCAGCAGGTGGTGGGGGTGGCGGCGGTGGGGAGTGTGCTGGGCATGGGACCGCACATGGAGGAGCTCATGTGGTTCACTGTGGATGGCGGGCTGAGAGGCCGCGTCAAGCGCAGCATGGCGCCACACATGCCCGCTCTCTGCCGCATCATCTACCACTTCTCCACATCTGTGAGTGACTTCGCTTGCTGCTTTTGAGAATTCTCAGAAGTGACTCTCTGCCGCATCGTCTACCATTTCTCCGCTTCTGTGAGCTCGCTTGCTGCTCCGCGCATGCGTTGCGTGTGCATGTGCTGCTGTGTGTGATGCTCCCGTCCCATGCATATCCCTCCTTTAACCCATCTTGCTTGCTCCCATTGCACCCCATTTCTCATGTCCTAATCGAACCCCCCGTCCCTCCTCCCTTCCGCTTCCCCTTTCACGGCAGGCCTCATGGGTCGTCCGAACCTCTCTATCCTCCCTCATCCTCGTGCTATCAGACTCTCTCCCTCTCACCACCACCACCACAGCCACCACTCTCTCCTCCCAGCCACCCACCACCACCACATTACCTACCACTTCCACCCCTGGCACCTCCTCCGTTGCCTCTTCCTCCTCCTCCTCCTTTGCCCCGCCTCCTCCCTCTCAGCCTGCTTCCAGCCAAAGGCTAACTGCAGATGGTAAGGCGGGGGAAGAATTGGGAGAGAAGGTGATAGCAGCTGTGGTGGAGAGGGCGTGCGAGTGTATGGAGGCATGGCTTGGAGTCTCGGATGGGAGCAACGCTGCTAGGGCTGCTGCTCCCGCCTCTGCTGCTCCTGCTCCTGCTGCTACTGCAGCTGCCGGTGGTGCTGCGGGTGAATCCGGTGCTGCTGGTGATGGTGGTGGGGATAAGGGTGCGAAGGGTTCTGGAGAGGTGGAAGGAGGTGGGGCAGGGTTGAAAGACGTGGATGTAGCAGGAAGGGGGCGAGAGGGAGGGGAGGTGGGAGGAGGGGGGGGTGGGTTGAAATCTGGTGCCTCTGCCCCTGGGTCTGCCACACACCCAAACGCCCCACTCTCCTCTACTCCCAAAGTAGCCCCTGATGCTGCTACTGCTCCAGCAGCAGTGGGTGCAGGGGGCATGGGTGCAGCAGCAGCAACAGCAGGGGCGGGTGGTGGTACTGGCACGACAGCGATCGGGCTTGTAGGAGCAGCAGAAGCGGCAGTATCAGCAGCAACAGCAGCAGCGGCAACTGCAGTGGTGAGAGGAGCAGCAACAGGAGAAGGAGCGAAAGCAGGAGCAGCAGCAGGACAGGCAGGAATACCACCAGCAGCAGCAGCAGCAGCAGTGGGAGAAAAGGCACCAGGGACCACCGGTGCAGGGATGGGGGGAGGGGTGTCAGTAGGTAGTGGTGTGCCTTGCTTGGGTGATCTATCCGGGAAGAGCAGGGGTGACTGTGAGAGGCCTGTGGCATCGCCATTGCTGCTTGCGGATCTGGTCTCGCTGCTGCACCTACTAGCGCAACTCATCGTGCACCCCTCTGTGCAGGTACTCACACCTCATCCTTGCTTTCTTGTGTTCATCCATGCATTCTGAACAGGCTTGGTTGGTGCACACAACTATGCAAGGAGTGGTCCGCTCTGCGTGCTTTTCTGGCTTATTTAGTGCCAGCCTGTTTTGCCTAGCCCGATTTTACACCTGTATTAACTCCCCAACTCTCATATCTTCCCATATCCCCTCCTCCCTCCCTCTCCCCACGACAATTTTCCCCGCCCCACTACATTTTTTCCCTCCCTCTCCCACATCTCTGCCTTACTCGCACTGCCCTCAGTCCCAGGCCATGCAGCACAAGTCCTTCTCCCGCCTCCTCCTCCGCGTCCTCACGCATTCTCGCATCCGCTCGCTGAGCCACAAGGCTCTGCAGCTAGCCGCACAGAAAAGAGCAAGCAGCAGCGGCAGGAGGAGGAGGATTAAGAGCAGGAGGAGCAGGAGGCGCAGGAGGAGCAGGAGGCGCAGGAGTAGGAGGTGGGTCAACAGTAGCAGCAATTGTGGTGCTGGGGGTTAAGCAGGAGCCTGGAGGCGAGTCGGGGGCAGAAGTGGGGATGAGTGGCAGTGGGGGGGCCAAGTCAGCAGCCGTAGACTTCCCTCCAGGCTTCCTTGCAGTGAAAGATCGCGCCGAGGGGGGTGCTGCCAGTGGGGAGGATGGCAAAGCTTCACAGGGAGTGCAGCATAGGGGAATACAGAGTATGCAAGGGCTGCAAGGGGAGCACGGGGAGCAAGCAAAGCAGAGCGAGAAAGGAGAGCAAGGGGCGCATGAGGAGAGCAGTGGCGTGGAGAAGCAGATGGATCAGGTTACTCGCATGGGGATGTTTATCGCGTCAGCTCTCTCCTTGCATGCTCTGCAAACACCCAGGTAACTACTGAGTCGACGCAAGAGTATTTCCTACCATGCAGACACACGCACGGTGCGAACACCTTTGATGCTGTTTATTTGACATCAAATTGCAGAGATTTTTATTCTGTTTATGGTAATGGCTGTGTGCTCACTGCTACCCAGCATGACCACTCATCTCTTTCCCAAACTTTCCACTCTTCTTCCCTGTGCTAATCATGTAATATGCAGCTTCTTCCAGTTGTGCCTTCATCAGTACCGCCTGCCATCGCCGCCGCTCGCCCTGCCACCCTCTGCTGCTGTCGCTTCACTCCCTGCCAATGCACTGGAAGCAGCGACTCCAGCTGCTGTGGCTGCTGTTACTGCAGATGCTGCTGCTGTGACTGCCACGACCACCACAACTGCTGCCACCAACAGCAGTGCTGTGGGTGTGATGGTAGTGCAGCCAGCAGAGTCTCAGCAGCAGCTGCAACAGCAACAGCAACAGCAGCAACAGCAGCAGCAGCAGGAGCAGCAGCAACAGCAGCAGCAGCAGGAGCAGCAGCAGCAACAGCAGCAGCAACAGCAGCAGGAGCAGCAGCAGCAACAGCAGCAGCAGCAGCAGCAACAACAACAGCAGCAGCAGCAGCAGCAGCAAGCGAGTCTAGACGCTTCTGTGCTGCTTCCATCCCCACGCACCCCACCTCCCTCTGCCGCTGTTCCTGCCTGTGTCTCTACGTCAGTTCTCCCGCCACCCTCGGATGCGGGTAAAGGGCCAAGGGAAACAGTGCAAGGACCCAAGGGAGCATCTGCTTCTACTTTTACAGGAGACACTCTTGCTGCACTGCTCTCACTCCTGCAGGCAAGCCAAGTTCCCCCCTCGCACATGCTCTCTCCCCCTTGCTCAGCTTTGCCTTCTCAATGTTTCCTTGCTTTTAGTTCATAGACTCTTATGGTACGCTCGTCCCGCTTGCTGCTCACCTATTCACCTCGCCCCACCCCACCCAACCCCACCACGTCCCTCCAGACATGCCCCTCTGCGGCACTGCGTGTGGCAGCTCTCTCCTCCCTCTCCTGCATCTCCTCCTCCCCCGCCTCCCGCACCCTCCTCTGCTTGCACCTCGCCCACTCCCTGCTCCTTCCCACTCCTGTCTCGTCCGCGCCTACCGCCCTGGCACCACAAGCAGGGAGAGGGGAAGGAGCAGAAGAGGAAGGGGACAAGGGGAAGGCACGGGGGGATGGGACGCCTGGGGCAGCAGTGTTAGAGGGAGGAGGGTCGGAGAGGTGGGGTGGGCTGTTGCAGAGTAGTGCGCGGGAGGTGGTGCGGCAGGTGGAGTTGTGGCTGAAGGTGATGGCTGGTGGATGGGGCGATGGGGAGAAGGAAGGGGTGGAGGAGGAAGATGATGAGGTAGAAGAGGATGAGGAAGAAGAGGAGGAGGGGGAGGAAGCGGTGGAGGAGGGGGATGGTGGAGGGCAAGAGGGATGTGGGGTGCATGGGAAGGTGCAGCAGGAGAGGGGGAGAGAAAAGAGCCGGTGGCAGCATGATGATGGGATGGGATTAGGTGGAGGATTCGTTGTGGAGGCTAGAGGGGAAGTGGGAGGGAGGGAAGGGAGGAGTGTGGCGGTGGTTGCATCGACAGCAGAGCAGCGGAGTGCAGCACTCGTGGAGGCCTTCTGCCTTGCTGTGCTGTGCCTTGCTGACTCTGGTCAAAGGTGCGTTGAATCTGGTTGACTCTGGTCAAAGGTTGGTAAAATTTACTTCAAAG